CTCTCTCTGGAGTCCAGCGGTAGCTCTGTGAGTTACGGTTCTGCCCTCCGAACCGCGATGAGTGATAGTAGCCATGGAGGGCCGGTAAGACGGATCGAACGACCGTTCCTCTACGACCTCTCTTTGCCAAGGCGACGCTACTCGACGGCGATCAACCTCTATCACTTCCTCTCGGTCGAACCTTTCCCGATGCGGATCGAAGGTTATGGCTTCATTCCGTCTAATCTGCTCATGTCGCGGATCAACGTGAGTCGATCCTTCGTGATCCTCAATTCGACGAACATTTGGCGGCAAATTGTCCATCATCCTTTCATCACGATGGTGAGCTGACTGATTGTTCTCGTCGTGCTCGCCTTGACGCGCGATATTAGATTGAACACCTCCTTCACCGACCGGAAGTGGATGCGAAACCGCAGGTATTTGCCGATGTTGCATTCCAGCTTTCAATTCTGCATTCTCTTTTTTGAGAGCTTCAATCAAGTTCATCAACTCCTCAAGCTTTGTTTGCTGGACAGCCTCCATCGGATTGGAGCTTTCACCTATCATTATTCCTGAACGGAGTAAAGGCATTAATCTCAAGTTCGCGAGTAGATCCGAGCTTCGTGAGTGGGAATTTTTCAGATCTGGCTTCGAATTCTCCGAATTATGCTCACTGTTTACGAGATCTGAATTGTCTGAACTCTAAATCCGTCAGATCCTGCCACAATCGAACAACTCGTTGTTGCGTAGATCTGAAGCCACTTCTGCCAAAGCTTCAAGAATTGTAATTCCTCCAGAGTAGGTCACAATCGCTCAGATCTGGATCCAAATCCCAAAGATCGAGTCTCGATCAACCGAATTGGTCTGAATCCACTCGATATTCCTCATTGATCATCCAAACCTCCATACGATTCCCACAGACGGCGCCAATTGAAGATGCAAGAAATTCATTCCCTCTTTCTCTCTCTAGAATTCTTACACTTCAACCCAAAAAGATCCTCTTCTTTTCATTCCTTTCCTTATTTATAGATATTTACAAGATATTTACAAATATTGACGGATTGCTGGATCTGGGCCTGTTCCTCCATAAGTCCTGGTCGCCTTTGATGGGCTTATTTGCGTTCGGCCCATATGGCAGTGTCTTTTTATGGGCCGACCCAGCTGTACGGACCGGATGTCGCGCTTGCAAGTCAGATCCGGCTCATGTCGTTCTGGGCCTCCTCAAATACCAATACTACCCTTTTGAACTTCCCAAACTATCACTCATTCATTTCTCCCTCATTTATATATATAATACCCCAATTTCATTATGTCCCTCTATTTATATTTTATTTCTTCTTTCTCTATAATTTATGTTTGTATATATATTTTTCTTCTCGTTCTCTGTCTCTCTCTAATGGCTTTCTCCCACGCATATAAATCTATTTCTTTAATACTAATAATAATAAATGATAAATAAATTAAATTTATCTTTCTTCAAAAATTCTACTTATATCCTAATGTGTATAAGAGGTTCTCTGCATGTCCATGTGTGAGATGTTGTGTCATGTGTATATATAATAATATTTGTTTTATAGAAATAATAATATTTTTTTAAACATAAAAGTGATTTACATATTATGTTAGAAGTTTATTTTTCCATATTCAGATGATCGATCAAATAAATAAATATTAATTTGCCAAAAAGAGAGAGAATATAATTAAAAATCAATAAGATGAATATATATACACCTAAATGTCTATACCTATTATATACTTTTTTAAGAATGAAATCTTTGGTCAAGCATTAATGATTTGTCATTTGTATAAAATAAAATAGTTTATTCTATACGAAAAATATATAGTAATTTTATATTTATTTATATTACTATTCATTAATTATTCATAAGAATATAATTTGGCACTTGACTTTATATATATATATATATATATATATATATATATATATATATATATATATTATTTCATTTGATTTTTCAAATAAAGATAACATTAAAAATTATTTAATATATATCTTTAAATCAGATAAATAATTTTTAATGTTATCTTTATTTGAAAAATCAAATGAAATAATATATATATATATATATTGTTTTTTTACATTATATTTCATTTAATTTTACTCTCTAATTTTGTGTAAGCCCTTTTAAGTAATTTCAACTTCTACTCATTTTTTATTATTTTTGCAAAGAGAATCTTGAGGGGCATTTTCATACTTTTGCCTATCTCACTTTATTTAACTAACAATAAGTCATTGTTTGTTCACTTTTCATACTACATAGGTGAGATTTGAACATGAGGGGGTTATTTGTACACTTTTCAAACTATAAGGGGTTTTTTTGCACTTCATCCTACAAAAATATAGTATATGATATGATTCATGTTAGCAGTGGCCGAGCCAAAAATTCATTTCAGATGGATAATAATTAATACAGTAACATTTTGACGAACAAAAGTAACTGAAAAAACTGCATGTTAAACTATCTGTAATTTGGATAAGTGAACTTGAGGCAATCTTGTTTGGACAAATTAATAGAGCATTAGTCGACATGATATGATCTCTTCTTTTAAAAAGAAAAATTAAAGGTTCCAATTTAACTAAGAAAATCGGTAAGTTATTCAAACACTGGCTTAAACATCCAAATAATGTACCCACTTTCAATCATTAATACACATTTCTCAAAAAGAGCAAACCTGCCATTAAAGCGATAGGCCTATAAACTTGCATTCTCAATTGTTAGATCAAAATTTTTTATTATAATATTTAAAGGCTAACTTGGGAAAAAAATCGAGTATAATATAACAATAATACCATATCATTTTACCGACATGGTGACCAACCAAAAAGATTTAATTGATTAGTGATACCCATGTCTGTTTAAAATGTGGTATAACTGCTACATTGTATGATTGTAATATTTCTCCCAAGGCAGGTAAATTTTTGACCAGCTCAAGCCCAGCCCACTGGAGAGGTGTGCCATTGGGTCTCAATTTAGGATTTGGGACTCAATTGGACCTTTAATAGTGCTGAAATTCGGACTTAACAATAAAAATCAGGATGCATAGATCCCATGATGGCTTCAAGCTGCTAGAACTCCAACATTTTTACCATGCTTATATCACATCACTAAGGAAAGGCTCCTTAAAATACCCTCTAATAATTAGTGACTATTAATTACTTTCTGAGGATGCTTAATTCCAATTTTTCATATTACATGCATTATAATAAAACTTAACAAAACATTAATAGAATCTATTTAGAGCTTTTTCATAAAAATACAGTGCCCCTCATCAGAAAAGATTGCACTAACATCTCATAGTCATTGAGGATGACTGGAGCAATGCAGCCCAAAATCATTTTCAGCACTGTGTCAAGCCCTGTTAAAGGAGGTTGCGGCATCTGTTTCGCAAGTGTAGGGGATTAGATTCTAAAGTCTTTAGTAATTGTTTGGAGTGTTGGAGGATTATTGAATGTTGTGTAAAGTAGAGAATATTCCAGAGACACAGAGTTATATACATTTGTAAATATATAAAAGAGATTTTAGAAAGTGAATCTTAGCCGTTGATAATAATGCATTCTAGCCATTCACTGGGGAGAAGAATACCTATTTAGTAGCTCATTGGTAGCCAACAGGTCCTAGGGTGAGTGTATAGGTTAGAAGATGACGTGAGTGCTTCCCTGCCACCACAACAATAGTAATCGCACCAGTGGAGAAAACTCTAGTCCCCTCACAAATTGGTTTAGTTTTGAAAATGATTATTTATTTACTCAATAGCAGAATTAACAAATTAAGGTAAGTTATTGCCACCATGAGTTGTTTTCTTTAGGTTAAGGGGCTGATAGGTGTTACTGTTTAGACGATCAACTGTGTACTAAATTTTTTTTTTTTAAATTTTTATTATTACTTATTTTGAAAAAAAAAAAATTTTGTCATAAGTTCTCTCTGTTTTACCGTAAAAATAAATTTTAGTCAAATTAATCATGAGATAGCTCATGAGTAGCTCTATTACTCAAAATAAAAATAATAATAAATAAATTATATATATATATATATATATATATATTTGTTTTTTCTTAAAACGCGTGTATCGGCCCCACAACACACAACACACGCATCATTCAAGTCAAAAGTATGATTCGATTCGAAAACTCAAACTCAAGCACTTATCTTCCGGATCTCTGCCAATGCCTACTATGCCCACAAGACAAAATAAATTGTATATGATTGACACTAAAAAACATTTGCATTGTTGTAATTATTGTATTGAATTAGTAAATACATTTATATTATTGAGGGGTCAAGAGGGTGGGCCACCCAAGCCCTCGAAGTAACCTTTCCGATAATATGTCTTTTTCAATGGACTGATTTTGTGCCTCAGTTGAGCCTTAATAGCACTGAAATTTGGACTTTTAGCCCATTACTAAAACTTCTAACATATAAATATCACTACCAGCAAAAATCAGGACACAGTGCCATTGATTGATTAGTTGATTGCTGTAAGGAAGAAAATGGCAAGACAAGCAGGAGGCCCATTCTTTCATCAGAACCTTACCCCAATGGTACAATAAATATGATGGAACACAGATCCCGTGATGGCTTCAGCCTGCTAGAACTCCAACCTTTTTATTTTTTTTTTTAGTAAAGGTGCTTTTCTGAGGATAATTCCAATTTTTCACATTACATGTATTATAATTAAACTTAACAGAGAATTGGGACCACTTAAGATCTCGCATTAATATATAAGAGCAGTACTATATAACTAGTCAGATACTTGTTCATCTATACTTGAGGAACCATTATAGCAACACTAGGTCCGAAAAGCTTGAGATGAGGAAATTTTCCATTAAATCATGCAGTTTTTTTTGTATCCTTTTGATCCCTTGATCTACTATAGCATTGTTATGGATCAACAACACTGAGCTACTCCTGACATATAAAACGAATTATAAGCTCTCCACGGACCAAACAGAGCAATTTGCTGAATGAACGACGACTCTACTACAAATTTCGAACTGGACATCAAACTAAAGGAGTGCATCTCACATAGATTGGTAGGAAAACCAAATTTATAGTTTTATACATCACGAAGCCATTAATATGAACTTGTTGATAATATGTTGTTACCAAGAAAATAAGTAAATACTTGAACAAACGAAGACAATTTGGAATGATCTTTACACACACACACAACACACACACACAAAAAAACCTCAATCTGAATAGACATTCATTACTCTACTAGAAGTTTTGGAGGTTTTTGAGTGCTTGCTGACCTTCGGGCTAACTTCTAACCACTTCTGGATAAGCTGAAATACTGTTTTATCACATAATAGTTGCCGGTGAGTAGCAGCAACTCCTACCCTCTCCGCCGCTGCGAATCCATCCGCCTGTAGGATGTGTAAAAGAAAAGTTCAGTAAAAATAATCATATGGTAGGGGAAAAAAATATTACAAGAGCATTACGAATCTTCAACTCTTGCACGACAGTTATTATTTACAATAATAATGCAAAGAATAGCATATTTTTACGAGCAAAACAAACACACACAAGTTCATTCTCATGGGAATCCTAGGTTGATTTGCTTCTTTAAGCACATATCATTCCAGGTTGGTTGGGACCATGTAAAAATGGAGCTCTACTTCATTGGCATTTCTATTTTGTAACTGAAACTAGTTAGCATGCCCACAGAGGGGGCCAACTGGTGTTGGAGGAGTTCCAAGAATGAGTCTAATGTAAGGAAGACTCTGTGCCAGTACCGATTGGCGTACAAACACATGAAAAGAAGGGAGCAGAAAAGCTTGCCAAAGGTAATTTGAATTAAAGGACCAAAACAAGCTTTTGTATTTTGAGGCCTATCTATAGGCACCATTATGTTAATAACAAATTACCTTACTAGGGAAACCAGAGATGGAAAGAGAGGGAAAAAATAAAATAAAAATAAAAATATTAACAGTGAAAGAATTTTATTGAAACTCAACATGGAGGGAAGCACTTTGATTGACCAGAGAACTACAGTGGAATTGAGGCACTAAGCTTAGGAAGTATAGATATCTAGATGGGCTGCAGGCTGCTAATATGGTTTTGATCTGCTACATGTTCCATTTGCTTTCTGCCCCTCCCTAAATGATGCCTGGTGTTTCTCTCCACCCCTGGGGTTGAGCTTACTTGCCATTCCGCAACATTTTTTATGATAATTTTGCTTACCAACCAATAAATGAACAAGTAATGATGGGGAATGCATGTTCCCACCCTTACTTCAAATTTTCAGCAAAAAAATTTGTTTATGAAGGCCCACCAATATAGTTATCACCAATATTTCATAAATTTGGTAATATAAAGCATTATTTTTGGTGTTTGCACGGATTGACAATGAATTGATATCTTTTCACAATTTGTAATATTCTTCACCTGGAATCAGTCTGGGAAAGGTATAAGAATTCCTTTAGTCTCAGACAATTGCTCATCGAATAAGTGGTCTCTAGTTGGCTCCTACATGTACCATAGTCTTTGCACAGGTGTGACGTATGTGCCCGCGCACGCACACACACGACACGTGCAGTCCACAAGCATACAAGTATTAATAGTGGAATCTAGGTATTTATCAAACCTTTTTTCACTTATTTTCCTGGTTGACACGTTCATATCGTGTCAAACTTTGATTTCCATTTTCATGCTACACAATTAGTCTAATTTGAATAATTTTTAAATGCAAAGCTCTTATGATTCAAGGATAGTATCAAGCTGGAATTGGCTTGCTAACCCATGCTTTTTACTTTTTACACAAGATATGTATAGATAAACCCAAGATTATCCTGGAGATTGAACATAAATGAAATATCAGGAATAGCACCTTTGCAGATTCTGCAGGAACAGTTCCATCTCCATCCACATAAGAGTACTGGGGCTGTAAGACCAAAAATAAAAGATATTTAAGTACACACAGATGAAAATAAATATCAAGATATACTGCCTTAGATTTCATGACACATAAGGATAAAATTCAATGAAGTGTGTTCATCAATGCACAATTGGGACTCGGGAGTAATGGAGTGATTCATGGATGTAAAATTCAGTGAACTGGAACATGATCATATAGAGTTAATCATCAAACTTAGGTGACAATCATGTGAAGGTTCAGAAATCAGAGGTCACATGACTTAAAAATTTGGAACCTAGAAAATACCATCTTAAGTTGCCTCGTAGCAACTTATTAAGTTTCAGCAGTGAATATCAAATTACTTACCATCGTGTGGCATAGTTGGGACAGCTCTTCAATTGGAGAAGTTTCTGAACCATAGCTGCGAAAGATTTGTGTAGGTTAGATGTGCTTACAGTTCAGAACATTTGTGCAACAGAATGGTTCACTTATTTGTAATTATATATAAGCTAAACTCTATAGAACTAAAATGACATGATCATCATCCTGAATGGTATTAATATGTTTACCCATTCATTATTATAAAATAAGCTAAACTGTATAGAACTAAAATGAGGTGATGATCATCCTGAATGGTATTAATATGTTACTTTTCATAAGCATGGTAAGAGCTAATTAATGCTGACAAGTTCTTTGATTAAATGCGAAGCTCGCAGAGCAAGATTTTGAGACATTGGAGCAAGAAAGACTTGATAGAAATCAGAAAAACTGGGATCTCTCTCTCTCTCTCTCTCTCACACACACACAACTTCAGAATCTATTTTGCATAGTAAAGAACCTGTCATGTCTAGATAACCATATTGATATGAAGCCTATGAGAGAGGTTTGGGAAAATTATTGAACTAGAAGCCAGGTTGCAAAAGATATAATTATGCAAAGAGAATTTAACACTGATGCAGCTATTAAGAGTGAGAATAATTTTAGATTAGAGGCTATTAATGATTGGAAAAATAAAAAAGGAATCGTACAAGCTATAGGCTTCATATTCTGAAACAGCAGTTGGATTGTTTGTACATCTTATATGGTTAGATTCGTTCAATAATCTTTTCTGCAATTCTTATTGTTCTTTTAAGATTAGATCTTAAGGGATATATTTTGTTTTTTTCTTGGCTAGAAACTCACGTACCCATTTGCCCCTATGGGACTTGACCTCTCACCTTCCACTTTGGGAGGTAGAGGAGGTACCACTAGGCTATAGCCCTTAGTGGGATACATTTGCCACTTGCAAAAAAGCAAAACTTTAGATATGGATCTGGTTTTCAAAAGGGATTGGGATAAATACTTCTCTGTTAACTGCTGTAAAGTTCACTCTTCGCCACTAGAAACCAGAACAGTCATTTGCACAAGACATGACAGAATCAGTACACTGAGTGATTGATATGTTTAGTCAAAACATTCATAACTTTAAATCAGTGAACTTATATCGACTATAAACACATTATTTCTCACCATAAAACAAATGTGATGGTTCAGCTATTCAAGACGCACTTTTTGATATTCACCAGGAGATTGACATACATTTCTTTCTTTCTTTTTCTTTTTCCATTTTTTTTTTACTTTTTGAGAAGTAGGAGATTGACTTACGTTTAAACAAACATGTGGCCACTTTTACACAATTTTAACAAAGCTGCATTTCCATGTAAATAATTTATTTTATAGGCAGTATTTTAATACAGACATAGAGCCATTCCCTTTCAAAACCTTGACCTAATAGGCCTTCTCAATAAGATAACTGGTTCAGTTACATACCAAACATCAAAAGGTGTGTCAAATGATGTTCCAAAGATGTTATAGAAAGAAACCCCTTTTGGTAGTTGAGCGTTATTGACAATTTGGCGAGTGGCAGCAGCCCATTTGAGAATAGAGAAGTTGAAGGGTAGAGCTACGGTTTTCCCGTCATAATTCAGCTGCAATAATTGAAATAAATAAGGTGTGACAATAATGCAATATTGTTTAAATAAATGATGTTATGAAGTAGTCATGTTACTGCAAATACTAAGGTAACAACAAGAGTGTATCATCATGCGAGAAAAATATTATTTACAGAATAATTTAGTAGTAAATTGGTAATAACTTATGAATCATCTGCAGATGGAATATAACTTTCAGAACAAAATTCAAAAGTTCAATTTGGGCACATGGCTGTCAGTGTGGCAGTGAGTCTATTTGATTTACAAGCACAAGTAATAAAAAGAAGTTATGATCACCTTCTACGACGTTTGCTATTTTGAAATGTATTCTTTCTTCTTCATGTAAAAGATTAAATTCACGATGCAGCAATTCAAATTCCTTGTTTGGATAGGTCAAATATTATAAAAATAACAATCCTTGTTTCAATACTTTTGAGATGTGTGCTACATGATTACATGCCTCTCCAGATTCTTTTTCAGGCTTTTTAGTTTTTGAGAAGTATTGATTAATTAATTTTTGGTTTTATTTTTCACTATATTTTATTAATTTACTTTGTTTAGTTTGCCCTATTTCATTTTCTAGGATCTTCAGGCAACATATTTCAAAATATAAACATGTCTCTGTTTCTTTCTTTTTTGTTTCTTTTTTGAGTTATGAAGCTCACAATCCTAATATTTCATAGTAACACCCCCAAGTATCTATAACATAGCTTAAATTTCAATTTTATATATATATATATATATATATATATATATATATATATATATCTTAGTGGGGGTTTGCTTTTGTTTTTTCATATTTCAGTTTTATAATTCAGTCTATCCTGTTATGCCTATTATCCTAAGCATCGTCTCCTCAACACTTAATTCAGTTTATGTAACCATCCTATAACATATAAGAGCCAAACTGGCTCAATTAATATCCAGATTTGGTAATTATGACACCAAGAGAAAAGGGAGGGGGATGAGGAACCCTAGTTCTAAGGTTGCTACTGTTGAAATATGGCTTTTTTTTCCTTCTTAGTTGGTACTCACACACACATGCGTCCACCAAGGCTTGAACTCCTGACCTCCCTTTGGGAAGTAGGAGTCTGATACCGCTAGGCCACTGGCCTATTGGTGAAATATGGCTTCCTTTCAAAGAACATATAATTTTCTTTAATGAGTAAGTAAAAGCAAGGTGCTGATTCTCAACCAGAGGTTGAATCAACAAGAAAATAAGGAGATGCCATGCCAAACCCATTCAGTAAATTAGAGATTACTACACCACAATCTATGAAAGCAGATTTAAACAACTATTTAGAAATTTGGTTGCAAGTTCTTATGAGAGACTAATTAATCGATAAGATCATTTAAGGAGCTCACTAGCAAGTTTTCATCAAAGAGATGGATTTAATAGCAATAGAAATTTTGCTTGTAGTTGCTGCTGAATGCCAGCATAGTTTTAACTTCTAAACATATATGTCTGTCCAATCACTTCGAGTTTCCGATCACTTAGAATTATAAGGTGGAGGTCTTGAATTGGATTCCCCTCCCTTGAGGCCAGCCTCACAAGAATTTTTCCTGACCCAACGGGTGGGGACACCTCTCTAGTCAACAACAAGAAGAAAATATTTTAAAAAATAATAATCGAGAACTAGATGCAAAGCATTTTTTCCACAAAAAATCTGATACGTTAGGTCATTGAATTGGTGTATAGTGGGATCCCACACAAGGAAAAGCGAGAGAGAGAGAGAGAGAGATCATACACAATGTATGTCTCTACAAGGATCATTACCATGAACAGTTAAACCAGAGTCACTGTCAAATTCTACTTTTCTTGTGATTATTTCTTCAAAAAAATTCGAACTACTCTCTTGGGATACATAATGCATGGTATCCTTGACAAACATGCAAATGTTTCAATAAATGGGGGAACAGTGATAGGATGTGGAGTTACATCATACAATTTTTGTGATTTGTCCAGTGAAAACTAATAATTCTTAAAGGCTTGGATAGAGCAAATAATTATTTAGGTTTGATAAAAATCCTTGTTTAGATGTCGCAAATAGCTTAAAAGGGGCCCACTTTATCAATAGATAGGGTTGCACCTATTACACATAATCCTCAAGGCATGTAGCACATGAAGTAACCACATCGCAAGGTAAGAATAACAAGAATTCAAGAAACAAAAGCTAGAACTCGCAACATTCATAAACATCATTATTCATTATGATCCAGATCTTAAATTACCACCAAGGGGATCAACCACACTGTACAATCTTTTGTCACATATTCTTCAGATGGTTATCTCCCTCCTTTATTCTGTTCACAACTTTCTACGCTGCCTGATTATAATTATCATATATATATATACGCACACATATGTATCAACTAGATATGGTAACATGGTTCTGTGTAACAAAATTCATAATGAATAAGATTTTTTTCTTTTCTTCAGAGTTAACTTCAACTTCAATTTTTTTTTTTTTTTTAAATTCAATATGCTAAATTAAGAAAGCTCAGGTAAAATAAATGGAACAGAAGGAAAACCACACATCCAATGTCATAAATCAGACTGTTTTGCAGCTAAATAAGATTAAAAGGTAGTACCTCATTATTCCTCAATGCTTCATCGAACAAAGTAACACTTTCAGTTGGCCCATAGGATTCCAATTTAACTGAAGTTTCCTCTTCCTTTGGTTGTTTTCGCCACACCTGAATTTCAGGTTGCTTTTTCCACATGAACTCTGGATTTGGCAACATCTCATATATTGATGGGCACTCAACCAACTACACATGGAAGAAATTTTACTCACTTTAGGCAACATAAATGAAATAACAAATACTGAGGACCGTTTAATGTAAACAGTATAGAATAAATAGACAAAATGTTTCCTCATAGCAGGCAAAGGTGGTCTCGAGTGAAAGAATATAGCACAACTTTCTTAGTTATTGAAGTAACAAACTGATGAAAGTTCCAGTGTATACAAGTTGGAACGCTGCTTCTAGATATCATCCTATATGACAGCCTATTATGTCTTTTAGTTTCATGCAGAAAAACTTTCTTAGAATAGAGAAATTACCAGTTGATGCATTGTCCACCTTGACACAAAAAAGAAACTTTCAAAACCTTCAACAAACTGCAACCCAGTTAAGAGAGAATCATTGATGCATCCTGGTGCACCTGTTAGGCATATATTAGAATTGACAATCAAGCATTGCTTCCAAATACAACTTAATTCTACTCAATAAAGCCTTTTCTTAACTATTTGGGTTGGCGGCATGATTCCTGTTTTGCCATTCTGCTCTAAGGCCATTACCTCAGTCAAGAATTCCTTACGGACACATTAATAAAAACAATGATAAAACAAAACTGCTTAAAACGTGTAAATAATTCTAAGGAAATTTTCCAGGTCATCTAAGGAAATTCGAAGATTTGGAAATCATTTCTTTAATCAAAAAATAAATTCATTATGAATTATTTGTGTACTTTGCTCATAATGATCAAAAAAATTTTAAATTAAGCAACAAATATTATGTACTAAATCTGCTCTAATTAAAAATCAGAGAGAAAGCAGTGGGGCTTCTATATATTCACTCTTATAGTTTGTGCATTTGTGCTCTGAATAGGATGTCCCACAGGCTCCATTGCATAGTATGTAAAACTGACACCTATAAATGAATTAAGTCTTGAATTTTTCAAGTTACGATATAAGGCCTTTTAGTAAGGACCATAAAGCTTCAATCAGGGCATTCTATATTGAGCTAACAGTTCACCTGGTTTTATAGTTCATTAAAAGTCATTTGGTGGACAGTGTACCCAATCTTCTAAAGAAGCTACTGTTGGTGGGCCGAGCGTCCATTCTCCTAAAGTTTTTTCTGTTAGTGGGCCAAGCGTCCACTATTCTAAAGAAACTTATGTTGATGAGCATTTGGGGGTTAAGGTTGGACAGAACTGTGGATCTGGGTTGGGGTCTAACAGTTTCAAGCCCTTGTCTTCATTAGGAGATGTCTCAGGAGATGCCTTGGCTCCTTGTGCAACTGGTTCAATGAGAGCGAGAATCAAGGGAGATCGGAGAGTGAAGGAGCAGGTGCTAAGACGTCGTTTGCCTAAGAAAAAGGTTATCCTTCCTGCTCTTCGCAAAAAGTGGTCTCGAAAGGAAAAGCAAAAATGGGTGGCGTCTTCGCAGATGGGTTTTGACTCCGGTATGTTTTCAGTTCCTTCAGGTTCTCCCTCTCCTAAGATGTGTTCTCCTTTCTTGGGGGGGTTGACCACTTCTTTGGGACTGGAGTTGGGTGGTTCTACTTATGTTTCTTACTCTTTAGCTTCGGTGGGTGAGAGGGAATCTGTTTTGACCGACAAGCCGGATGGTGTTGCTGGGAATCGACTTGGCTTTTCTCGGAGATGTGATGGCTTGTGTGAGGGGGTTACAGTTTGTGTAGGTCGGGATGTAAAGTTGAAACTTGATGATGATACGGCCTCAATTCTGCTGAAGGAGTTACGAAACCATTTGGCTTCGAAAGGTTTTTTCTGTGATTCAGGAGGAGTTTTGACTGAGGAGGAGCCTGTTTCGCAGTTTTGTTCGCATTCTTCTTCTGTTCTTGATGATTGGGAGGAAGCTGCAGGTTCTTCTTTTGATGGGGATTCAGGCATGATTCCATGGGAAGACTTGGAACAAGCAGTGAATTTGGCTGTGCCTTTGGCTGTTGTCCCCCCCGGAGGGAATTGGACCAGTGCCTCGACAAATGTTGGGGTGAATGACACTGAGGAGGAGTGGGTGAGGGAGAAGGGTCTGGAAGTGGGCCCTCTGCTGGGTGTTTCTTTTGAGGGCAGGGTGGATGAGACGATGTGTCTGTTTAATGATGTTCTTAAATCTCATTTTCAGAAAAAGGAGGGCGATAAGGTGGGGTTGCAGGAGGAGAAAGGGGAGACAGTGATGCAAAGTCCAAATGACCTTATCACGTATGAGAGGAGAAATCGGGGGTCCAGATCAGGTGGGAAAGGTGGAGGAAGGGAAGGAGGGTTGGTTATTCCAAGTGTTTCCCAATGAAGCTACAAATTCTTTCATGGAATGTTTGGGGTCTCAATGACCCGGTTAGGAGGAAAGTAGTGAAGTCGGTTATTCGTAAAGGTGGGGGTCATGTGGTGTGCCTCCAAGAGACTAAGCTTGCTTCGATGTCTGACAGGATTGTGAGGAGTCTTTGGGATGGGAGATTTGTGGAGTGGATTGCTTTGGATGCTGTTGGTTCCTCGGGGGGGGCATCTTAATTATGTGGGATAACAGATGGGTGTCTAAAGTGGATGCTCAGGTTGGGAGTTTCTCTGTTTCATGTGTTCTTGCTTTGGCTGAGGATGGGGTTCATTGGGTTTTTTCGGGTGTCTACGGTCCTTCAGAGGACGGTTTGCACCATTTACTTTGGGAGGAGTTGGGAGAGATTAGAAGTCGTTGGTGTTTGCCTTGGTGTATTGGTGGGGACTTTAATGCTGTTCGTTCTCCGTTTGAGAGGTCAATGGGAAGTAAGTGGACATCTGATATGGAGGCTTTCTCGGAGTTTATTGATGAGTTTGGATTGATTGATTTGCCTTTGGTTGGAGGGCCATTTACTTGGTCCAGTGGCCGATCTCCTCCTACCCTTTCTCGGATTGACAGATTCCTTGTGTCCGGGGAGTGGGAGGAGAGGTTCTCTGATGTTGTTCAGGCTACATTGGCTCGTCCTATCTCTGACCATGTTCCGTTGATGTTGGATTGTGGCGGTTTGTGCAGTAGGAGCTCTCCTTTCAGATTCGAGAACATGTGGTTGCGGGCTGAGGGCTTTCTGGAGAGGGTCCGTCTCTGGTGAGAAAGGTATGGTGTGGTTGGCACCCCTAGTCATGTGCTAGCAGGCAGATTGCGTCTTTTAAAGGATAATCTTAAGACTTGGAATAAAGAGGTTTTTGGGAACCTTGAATGGAGGAAAAATTGGGTTCTAGCTGAAATAGCGGCTATTGATCAGATGGAGGGTCAAGGGGATTTGGTGGATTCTTTGAAGGCTAGGAGGGCGGAGTGCAAGGCGGAGTTTACTGAGATTGCTGTCTTGGAGGAGATCTCGTGGAGGCAAAAATCTCGAGCTTTGTGGCTTAAGGAGGGGGATCGAAACACTAAATTTTTCCACAGATTGGCTAATGCTCATAGAAGAGGCAATCATATAGGGAGGATTCGAGTCGAGGGGGTTATTTTTTGTAAGGAGGAGGAGATTCGCAAAGGATTCTCAGAATTTTTTGAGAATTTGTTCAACGAGTCTGTTGAGTGGAGACCTTTGCTCGAAGGGTTGCAGTTTGACTCCATTTCTGAGGAGGAGTGTTTGGGCTTGGAGTTGCCTTTTTCTGAGAAGGAAGTTCTGTTTGCTTTAAAGAGTTGCAATGGGGATAAGGCCCCAGGTCCAGATGGTTTTACTATGAGATTTCTTCTTGAATGTTGGGAAGTGGTTAAAGGAGAAGTGATGGGCACTTTCCATGTTTTCCATTCTCGGGAATCTTTTGAGAAAAGCTTGAATGCCACGTTCATTGCTCTCATTCCAAAAAAGGGAGGTGCTTTGATTTTCGCCCTATTAGCCTGGTGGGTTGCATCTACAAGCTGATTGCCAAGGTGCTTGCTTCAAGGTTGAGGAAAGTGTTGGATGGCATCATTTCGGACTCTCAAAACGCTTTTGTAGGAGGCCGTCAAATTTTGGATTCAGTCCTTATTGCAAGTGAGTGTGTGGACTCCAGATTGCGTAGTGGAACCCTGGGTGTTCTTTGTAAGTTGGACATTGAGAAGGAGTATGACCATGTAAGTTGGAGCTTTCTTCTGTACCTGATGGGGAGGATGGGGTTCGGCGATAGATGGAGGAGATGGATTCATTTTTGTATTTCCAGTGCTCGCTTTTCGATCCTTGTTAATGGTGCTCCTACTGGTTTTTTCTCTAGTTCAAGGGGCTTAAGACAGGGAGATCCCCTTTCCCCCTTCTTGTTCTTGTTTGTGATGGAGGCCTTTAGTAGATTGATAAGAAGGGCTACCGAGTTGGGTCTTTTGAGAGGCTTTCGGGTGGGCAGGGAGGCAGATTCTCAGTTGGAAATCTCTCATTTGATGTTTGCTGATGACACTTTAGTTCTTTGTGATGCGAACGTTTCTCAGATTAGATATTTGAGATGTGTTTTGATTTGGTTCCAAGTTGTTTCCGGCCTTAAAGTGAATGTGGGAAAAAGTGTTTTGGTGTCGGTTGGGGAGGTCCTTGAGATTGAGACTTTTGCTGATATTCTTGGCTGTCGTACTGGTTCATTTCCCATTTCTTACTTAGGATTGCCTCTGGGAGCTCCTTCGAGGTGTGTGGGGATTTGGGATCCAGTGGTGGACAGATTTAAGAGAAGGTTGGCGGGTTGGAAGAAGCAGTATCTCTCCAAGGGCGGTAGAGTCACGCTGATTAAGAGCACCCTCTCTTGTCTTCCACGTATTTTATCTCTCTTTTCCAGATTCCCTCTTCAGTTGCGGAAAGGATAGAGAGGTTGCAGCGTAATTTTCTGTGGGGGGGTGGAGGTGAAGAGTTTAAGTTTCATTTGGTGAGATGGGACCAAGTTTGCAAGCCAATTCGCAATGGTGGGTTAGGTCTCCGTAAATTGGTGCCCTTTAATAAGGCCCTCCTTGGGAAATGGTTGTGGAGGTTCGGGGTGGAGAGACATCGGCTTTGGAGGAGGGTTGTGGCATGTCGTTTAGGGGAAATGAGAGGAGGGTGGAGTTCTTTGGAAGTTAGAGATCCTCGGGGGGTGGGGGTTTGGAAATTTATTCGGAAGGGTTGGGATGATTTTTCCAAGCACATTCGGTTTCGTCTCAGAGATGGGAGGAGGATTCGCTTCTGGGAGGATGTGTGGTGTGGAGATGTGCCTCTTGCCCTCGCCTTTCCTCAGCTTTACAGGATTGCTATGGATAAGCAGGCCATAGTGGTTAACTGTTATCATCTTGATAATGGAAGACTGGTTTGGGATGTTCAATTTAGGCGTTCCTTTCAGGATTGGGAGATCGAGGAGGTCATTCGTTTCTTGGAGTTGTTATATCGCCAGAGGATTGTGGAGGAGGATTTAGATTGTCGGTCTTGGATTGCAAACTCTCAGGGGCGCTTTGAGGTGAGGTCTTTCTTCAAGTGCCTCTCTTTTGTTCCTGGAGTTCGTTTCCCTTGGAAGTCTGTTTGGCGATCCAAGGCTCCTCTTAAGGTGGCTTTCTTTGTGTGGACTTCGGTCCTGGGTAGGATTTTAACCCAGGATAATCTGAGAAGGAGAAGCCAGGTGGTGGTCAACCGTTGCTCTATGTGTCTTAGTGATGAGGAGTCTGTGAATCACCTTCTTATTCATTGCCCTTTGGCTAGAGAGTGTTGGGTTTTGATGCTTGGCTTATTTGGTGTTTCTTGGGTTATGCCTGGATCTGTTAGAGGGTTGATTGAGGCGTGGAGAGGTTGCCCTGTGGGGGCTCTCAGTCAGGATGCGTGGAGGGCTACGCCGCTTTGTGTGTGGTAGTGTTTATGGCTTGAAAGGAATAGGAGATTCTTTGAAGGAAAGGCTTTGTCGATTTCGGTGCTTAAATTCTCGATTATTTCTACTCTTTTTTGTTGGGTTTCAGGAAGAGATCATTGTTCTTTGGAGGAAGTAGTTGATTTTTTAGCCTCTTTGAAGGGTTGAGGCCTTTGTGGTCTTTTGTATTTGCATGGGTTTCGCTCCCCTTCTAAGCGTTTTTTTATAAAATTTTTACTTATCAAAAAAAAAAAAAAAAAAAGCCATTTGGAACTGTTTTCTAAATATATTTTCTACGAAGAAATGATTAAAACAATGTTAAATAATATAGCAGGAAATGTGAGCTCACAATTCTTATAACTTTTATCTTCAGCCAAAATTGTTATATTACGCTACTAACAATAAGTGATTTTTTTTTTTTTTTACATTCATTTTCCCATTCCAGTATAACTGCGTTCAACTAGACTTCCAGTCTTTGGGCTGGTGGGGCCAAAAAAAAAAAAAAAAGAAGCTAAATTGTTTGTGACACTCGGTAGAACCTCTTTTGCACAATTGATGGACTGATTATGACAATCGATTACCAAAACCACCTCATCTACCGGGAAAATAAAGTGACTAAAACCACCTTCTTTGTCATGTTCAGTTGTAATGTAAGCCATAGTTTCCAGGCTATTCTCAACTGCATTTCTCAAGTAGCTAACATAAAGAATTCAAATAAACATTCTTACCTAGCATGTAAAAATAGGGTGACGAAAGAATTACCTTGGAAAGGGCATGCGATGGAAATCCACTTACTCACATACTTGGAAAATACCTGACAATGAATAATTGAAATCACTGGTCATGCCTCTCATGGCACATAAGGAGTTTCTACTTTCGGCAAATTTTCCATGTAATTCAAAATTCAACAAGTCACCATGAGAAAATATGCTCACATCATTATGGAGTGACATGAAACACAACACTAACAATCCACCCATTGAATGTGAAATTATATTAACTTTTCTTCCCCCAGAAGCTTGGTACGCAGTATCCAACTTTGCTTTAAAGCCCTCCATTGCCTTGTCAATTCTGTCAACAATAAGATATACATGTTGCTCAGATGGTACGACAGTTTCACTGGAAACAAGCAGGGAAATATGAACATCAAATCATCTTAACAGTTGACTTAGGCTTTGGTCATGATGTATTTTCTAAAGATCATAAGTTACTAATCAATTTTTGGTACCAATATTTCAGCAGCCAAAAAGGAACTACCTATTGCTTTGCCGGAAGTCATAACCATATCCAAACAATGTAGTCCCTTTCTTGTACCCACATCCAACAAGCATATCAATCATGTCATGAAAATGGTATACCCCGGTCAAATGTACACATTTTACCCACTGGAACATCAAGAAAAATCTATATAAGAGAGTATATTTTCTCAGACGTAGATAACAAAATGAAAATACAGTTGACCCTCTTGAATTATTTTATAATTCTAATAAGTGATACTCCGTATTTATTTTAGGAAACAACTTGACACAGCATATAATTAATACTTCTTTGCTTAATGATAAATCTTCTCCAGAGAACGTATTATATTATTGATTGCATTACAATGTAAACAATGTCATAAAACAAATGTTATTTTTTTTTATTTATTTATTTTTTCTAACATGTCATATTTTGACTTACAAAACTCTTAAAACAATCAAATACACCAGGTAATTACCTATTTCACCAACATCTAATTCAATTTAAAATTAAGAGCATTTTTATAAGTTAAGAGAGATAAGTTATATATCGTCTATGAAGTAAATATTGTTGTGAGTATATGTATTATTAAGCCCAGGAAGCCCTTTCAAGAACCACAAAAACAAAGCAAAATATCACAAGCTCTAAATTATGAATTCACTTTTCTTTGTCTTCAAATGTTCTCCTACTACACCACTTCCAAACACACCACCAAAGGAAGGAACGAGCATTTTTCAATATTTTAAATTAAGCTTCCAATAATGAAAACCCCATGACTTCTCGCACATAATTTCAGAGCTTCTTCTGACCCAAATACATATCAAAACCTCACTGTAAATAATAAATGCAAACACAAATTTAGTGCCTTGACTTCTATTGTTTCAGAATCAATTTGACACAATAACCACAAACCGATCATGTTTTTCACTCCTCTCGATTCAACCCTATGTGTTGGTTACATCTTATATGTTGCAATTTACCAGTACAGCTCCGAAAGTATATAAGAGCAGAAAACCAAAAAGGCCAACAGCAAGCTCAGGAAGTGCACCACATAAGCAAAGAGCAATTTATCACAAGCTCTAACTTATAATTCTCATTTCTCTGTCTTCAGGTGTTCCCCTACTCCACTTCCACACACACCACCAAAGAAAGAGATGTGTATCCTTGCAGTCTAACACCATTGCAGTATATCTATGACATATTTTTTAAAAAAAAATTTAAGAAGAAAATGCAGGTCACTTGCCTTCAATCCAGAAGTGGATGTGTAAGAATTCTTTGATCCTATGTCCACTATTCAGTCTTTAAGCCATCCAAGAATGCAGAAATGTTTGGTCTAATGACTGTTGTTTACACTGAATGTTCTTTTTTCTATGTCAGGGTCTATTCTATTGTCATTGCATTTCTTATGGAAGAAACGGAGTGGAAAAATAATAAAAGGTCCTAAAGCAGTATGGATCACTTGTTCATGGACTCAAGAGAATGGCTTGGATAGAATTTATAACTTACCACTGAGGGATCTAAAATATCAATTGCATACAGTCCATAATCATCTTCAGGGACCACAATTTCAGTGCTATCATCCAATGATTCTGTATAACCTGAAAAAAGCAAATACACAACTTCAAGAATGCTAGAATAACCACAACAGAGGTCTCGCACACAAACCAATAGTTAAATGAAATACATTAATAAACATAACAAACCTACAATATGTAAACATAACAACTATCATTTCCCAAATAGTTGAAATTGAAGCATAGCATACTAAAACCAAGGTTTCTACGACTGCGACAGAGTTCAAGCCCAATGCTTGTCAATGCACAATTTAGATCGTTCAACCAAAGGAGTGTCCAACAGAGACCAATTACATGTTATAAAGACCAAAAATAAATAAATAAATAATAATAATGTGGAAATTTTGAATTTGTATTAACAAGAAACCGGAGGAGAAAGAACACATGGAATATACAAAAGAGCAGCTAATTTAAAGAAAAAATCTCCTAGTGATCCATAAAAGACTTTAGACTGAGAAATCCTCCCCAAAACCAATAAAAAGAAAAACATAAATTAAGGAAAGAATAATTCAATAACATCTGTTGTAAAGCAGCTCAAACCCAACAAATTAACACCTTTTGCTCTTCTTCCACACATTGCAGAAAAGACATAAAGGTGCCTCTTCAAACCACCATTTTTCATATGTTCACATAACTGTTCATCCAACTCCCTAGCGCATCAACTATAGAGCTCATCATCACCGAACACCAAAAGAGGATATCGAAAAGGGATCTTAAATCCCTTGCCACATCACGATGCAACAACAGGCGGCTCACCATCTCTTTCTCTCCTCTACACATGATACAAACGAGAACCCCAATATTCGCAAATCTTTGCTACATAGAAATTTCATTAATTTAGAATCTTAAAATGAAATTTCAGCTATCTTATGGCTTCCCATGGACACTGAATGAGAGATCCCCTTCTACCACACACACACACAAACAAAGTTTAACAACTCATGATATATTCAAGAAGAGAACTTGCCTCCAAACAATTAGTGAAAAAATCATTTATTTAGAAACTATCTAGCATTGAATTAGAGTCTTAAATTAAACATAATAGAATTATTGAATTATTTGGGAAAATGTATGAAAAGCTTTTAAGAATAATTTTAAAATAATAAAAATACAAAGACTGAGAAAGCACTAAATCACTAAATTTAGACTATATATTCCCTTGATTGACAATCAGGAAAAATGATGAGGAACTAAAAAACATTCAAGATTTTTTTTTTTTTTCTTTCTCAACTGGCAAATGGAAGTAAATCAAACCAATGCATAAAGAAATCAACATCAGGTCTGGCTTTACACTCTAGCTGAAAAACAACAACAGTTGTGCTTAGTTATTGAGAAAATTTAGGAAAACCAAAATTTTGGGTATTTAGGAACCAAGAAGAAAAAAAATACTCATTAATTTTGTTTATGCTTATTTCAAAACAAAAACAGCATAAAAACAAATAAACACTCAAATTTTTTTTTTTTAATTTTTTTTTTCCTTTCACTTCTTCTCAAAAACCAAGAGATTTAGCAGTAAACAAACTTTACAAATTCAAAACCCACATTAAGCTCATAGAGAGGTACCAGTTTTGCGATTATAGAGAGACCATATCTTCTTCCTGAATTCCAAATCAGCCAGGAGGATCCGGACCCATACCCGAGTCTCAAACCCGCGCTTCTTCTTCTTTGAATGCAGAATGGACCCCCCAATGCCGGAAACCAGCAGAACCGGGTCCCGGTCGGGGTCGTCGTCGCCGGAACTCCGGCCACGAAAGCAACAACAGTCTCCGATCATGATATGGTGAGGCTTACGCCAGAGACGGCGGAGATAGTTGTGGTTCGCCGGCGATTACACCGATTGGGTCTGCTGAGTTTTTTTTCCCAAGAGTGGCAGTGAAGAAGTAGTAGTTTTTTCAGAAGAGTACGGGAGTACACTGCAAATTTTGCAATATGCCCTTCTATGTTTTGCTTTTTTCTCTTTGTTCATATTATGTTTCTATTTTTCCTCAAAAGTACCCATGACTTTTGGATCAATTTAGTCAATGTCCTTTGGTTTTCTCTTTCTTTCTTTCTTTGTTTTTTTTTTTCTAAGTGTGTCCATTGTAAATTGAAGTAAGAAAATTAAGAATTAACTTATCTCATTATATATATATATTTTTTTAAGAGCCCTATATGTATGGAGTAGATTTGAAGCATACAACTTTAACAACACAAATATATCATTTAAATTAAATACCTAATATTCTTTAATTTTTAGAGGAGACAAATGTTACTAAACCTAAAGCTACTTGGTTTAACTATTAACTATTAACTATTAAAAAGTGCATTATCCCATAATTTTTAATTTGCATAGTTGATATATTATATCTCTCTATATGTATATATATGTATGTTCATACAAGAAAAATCATCTTTCTAACCGTGAGAGGCTCCCTTACCAAACTTTGAGGCTCTTACAAGGGGCTCACACCTCACACGGGACTTGCACAATAATTTTCAGAATTACATTGTAGTATATATGGTTGGCTTTGATACTAGGCTGATTCTATACCAAAAAATTAATCACTTTGTGAATTTTATCTAATGCTCAATATTTAACTTATGAGGTCTATACTTCCATTTCTCACTTCTTCATTTTTTAAAATAAAGAAAAAAGAAAATAAAAAAGAAAAACCTGTACCATTTCTACCAAATAGAGATATTAAGTGAGAGAGGGGGAAGATAACAAATTAGGGTGAAATGGAGGTACTTAAGTGAAAAAATGAATGAACAGTTGCATATTATAATACGACGTCGTTGACCCCCATCCCCATTCCACCTACTATTCTTTTTCGTTAAGTTATCGGTTGGGGAACCAACTTTCTTTCCATTACGTATGGAAAATCATTATCTTCTACGACCCGCTCCTTTCGAAGTCGTTGCAACTGTCAACATTTGACAATCCACCTCTTAATAATTTCCACATCCCAACAAAAAAAACACAAGCGGTATCCTAATTCATAAATTACCCCTATCTTTTGATAAAATTACGCAAAAGCATGCCGTGTCTCTAAGGCAATGGTTAGGTACAAATTGATTATAGTAGACTGTAGCGTACCAGATACTAACTACCAACCTATCATTAAAAAGGTCAAAGATTTAAAAGTCAAATCATTGTCACTTTATATAAATTGATAAAGCATCTAAAAGGATATACTATTTTATTCCACTATTATAATATTGTGTACTATTTCTAGAAAGACCCCAAATCATAGTGTCACCCTCTGAAAGCTACACATGGAAAACCCACACTCCAGCAAGACACATTATAGCTATAAAATAAAATTTTAAATTAAAAACAATAATAATGAAATGATAAGTACTTGTAGTTCTAATTTGAACCATATATGTGTTTCTAAATTAAAATTAAAGTTAATGATTTATTAATTATGTAGTATAAGAATATAAGTTCTTAAAAATATGACTATGACAAAATGTCAAGTTTTGAAATAATTATGGAGTATAAGTAAGTGGGAGTAGCAATAAACATTTTGCGAGTGTCATATTCGTTTTAAGATGACAAAAGAAATTACTATTGAAAAAAAGAAACACAATGCGTTAGTTTGTTAAGAATTTTTAAAAACTTTATTAAGCATGCTATCAAAGTCATTTCTTGAGTGATATGCACTTCATCTCTTTATATGAGAGGTAGAAGTTCCAACTTCGAACGAAGACAATACGTGTGCATTTATTTTATTAAAAATCAAAATATTTAAAATATTTTTCATTATAATGCTAGGACTAAAATATTGCTTGATAAAATTAAAAATTAAGCAAAAATAAAATACTATAAAATTTTGTTTTTGGTTGTACTTTGATACTTGTTTGGATTTTAGTGTTAACTGAAAAGTTAAATTTACATTTCTTCAAATTTTATGCCTTTTAAATGAATCTTATTTTACAAAATTGCGTCATCAAAAACACCTATTAGGTAATTGCTTCATTAATTCAGTGCTCATACTTAATTGAGTGGGTACTGTCATTTATTTGAAACTCCAATGATGTGTGTGGCTTAACGGCTCAAACTCTAAGAGTGAATGATTTTGTTTTTTTATTTTTATCATGTGACTAACATACTTATTTTTATTGAGAGTTGAAATCTCGACTTTTTATATTTTGAAAGGTAAAAAAATGTTGTTAAACTTAATCGATGATATAATTTTTATTTTTATTTTTATTTTTATGTATTAACACTCTTGCGGGAAAAAAAATTAAAACCTCTTCACCAACTTTTAATTATTTTTTTATTTTAAATTTTGCGATACAATTACTCCTACAAATAATACTTCCCATGATAAGGAAGGAGAGAAGAACAAAATAAACAGTACATCCAACCAAGAAAAATGCTTAGGTTATTATATAATGCATTATCACCTCGTAGTCTAGTGTATCTCATTTACCTTTCGAAGTGAATGGTGGGTTTCGTAATCTAATGGTATCTTATTTACCTTTCAAAGTAAATGGAGAGAGTTCAAATCTCCAAATAAACAAATTGAGTGTGTGAACGATGTATGTGCATGCCTGACCACCATCTGTAATAAAATATCCTCTGGAGGACTGGTAACTTATCAGTGGTATAACCACATTGGAAATCCCATTTCCAAATCCAAGGGATTCCAAATTCAGTAAAGAACAATAGGGTGGATTTCCCTACAGGAATATTATCCTGTCCTCGTAATTGAGGATGAAATTGTTGCCATGGCAAATATAATTGACTGATAGATTCGGGCAACATATCCAGATCAGGGCCAAATATAGCCCACCAGGGTATAACCCAGTTGGGGAAATCAGTCTTAACTGATTGAGGGCATATCTTGAAGAACCAAGAATGCCGATGCTTCGGATTTTGATAAAAGAACGAATATGTCCAAGCTGAGATATAATCCCAATAATTGTAACTGTGACCATAGGATATTTTCCTTGGCAAATTGGGATTTAATCCCCAGTCACTAGGCCGTATAAGCCTCTTAAAGATAGCTTTACTATAAGTAAGAGGACTATCTTTGGAATTCGGAAATTGCTTCGTGTGGTTAATCTCCACAGAGGAAGTTTCAGTAAGAATGGCTTCATAGATATATCTATGGCGACCATCCGGTGCAGCATATTGTTGAGTTTGGAAATATCTGGATTTGACTTCCCAAGGGTCTGGCATCCATTGCTCATCTTGAGAATCCAGTACCAATACTGTCTGAATATACCTTTGATTAGGTATCCATGGAGTTTCTTGTTCAAGAACCTCTTTCATGGTTGGTTTCTGTTTTTGTTGCTGGGTACTGCTGCTTCCTTTAGAAGGAGTTTTGAGTAGATCAGCAACATGCTCCAGATATGGAAACTGATCATCAGTGAGTGGTATAACCACTTTGGCCTTAGCCTTGTTTTTGCCACGAGCCTTTGGAGTATTACCCCGGCCCTGCCCATGGGGGGGCTGATTCATGAACCCTGCAAAAATTCACGAGTTAGAAAATCAGGTAAAGAATTAGAACTGCCTTTAATATATTCAATAGAAAAATCAAAAGCAGATAAATCAGCTTGCCAACCAGCAAATATCTGTTTGGAAACTAAATTTTTTACATCTTTTTCCAGTACTTGTTTAGCAGCACTACAATCAATGCGTAACAAGAATTTCTGATTGATTAGATCATCTTGGAATTTATAAATGCATTTAACCAAAGAAAGAATTTCCTTTTTTATGGTGGAATAATTTAATTGTGCATTTTTCCAAGTTCCTGAAGTGAAGCGAACAAGCTCCTCTGTTCCTGTAGTTGGATTTTTCTGTTTAAGAATGCCACCGTATCCAATATTGGAGGCATCTGTTTCCACAATTTTGAACCATGAAGAATTGGCTAGAGCTAAGCAAGGAATTTGTTTGGCTCTGAGTTTAATCTTCTGGACTGCCTTGGTGTGATCCAAAGTCCAAGGGGAAGGAGATTTCCTTAACCTGGTGTACAAAATTGCTGTGTCCTGTGCAAGATTTTTGTAGTGACTTCGAATATAATTCAAGCTACCCAGAAATCTTTGAAGTTGAGTTTTATCCTTGATTTCATCTGGAAATTTAGAAGCAAACTCAATACTGCGATCAATAGGTCTAATTTTCCCATCACAAATTTCATGACCAAGGAATCTGACCTTTGTTAAAAACAATTTTAGTTTAGGAGCAGAAACTACTAAACCACTTCGGTAAATGACATCTTTGAAAATTTTCAAGTGTTTATAATGTTGATCAATTGATTTTGAGAATATGAGAATATCATCAATATAAACAATAGAAAATTCAGTGAAAGGATTAAATATGTCATTCAAAATATGTTGAAATTCTGAAGGGGCATTTTTTAATCCAAATGGCATTACGGTCCATTCATACTGTCCGAAAGGTACGCAGAAGGCTATCTTGTACCTGTCTTCTTCAGTGATTTGTACCTGGTAATATCCAGATTTAAGATCAAATTTAGAAAAGATCACAGCAGATTGTAACCTATCTAAAAGATCTTTGATGTTGGGAATTGGGTATCTGATCCAACTTAAAGTAAGATTAAGTGGTCGATAATCAATAACCAATCGAGGAATTCCTCGTTCTTTTTCAGCATTTTTATTGACATAAAAAGCTCTGCAACTCCAGGGGGAGTAGCTAGTAGTGACAAGCTTTTTAGCCATTAAAGAGCTGATTTCAGTCTTACATAATTCCAAGTAGTCAGCCTTCATATGGCTGGGACTAGCTTTAGAAGGAATCATGCTATCGGTAAATCCCTTTACATAGGGTAAAGAAACAATATGCTTCTTTCTGGCCCAAAAAGCATTAGGAATCTCACTACAGATTTCTTTTAGAAAGTGTTATCTGAGTGACTTAATTTTCTGTTGCTC